TATTCAACAAGTATTTATTGCACTCCTACTGTTTATCAGGACTGTCTGGGGTCTTTTGCTAGGAAGAGGAGGATACCACAGGTTTTTTTTGTGTGGGGGGGGAATAAGGGACATATATACAATAAGTGAATGTATTTGATTCTTTTGTGCTTTCAAGTTCATAGGAATGCTAACTGCTGTCCATTTGATGTCTGAGTCCTTTGGGTTTGGGTCTAGAGGTCGGTATCAGATCCACGGAAGAGCTAGTGAAAAGTTACTGAATTGGGCTTTTTCTTAGGAAAATGGAAGCGCTCCCTAGAGACATGAATATATCACGCTTTTGTTTGACAGTAATACAGGTAATCCTTACCATCAAAGTCTGTGTGGCTCCTGAATTCCTGTAGCATGTTCAGGTGCCATGTTGTCAGGATTTCTGGTTTCTGAATTTTGGATAAGTGAGTAGGAAGAAATAGAATGTTAAAGGACATGAGCCTCATGTCAGTGTCCATGTTTGGATAGTCAATATTGGCTCAGTGAGAGTTACACTGGCACAAGGATGTCCCCAATGTGCAGGAGGGGTAGCAATTGATGTTGCAGTTTGACACAAGACTTCGTAGGAGGAGACGCTTGTGGAGCTGGGTCACATTTGTCTAGGCAGAGATGAGTGTCAGTTGTGGAAATGGCTTGTGAACAAAGTGCAGAGAGGAGGCCTAAGTTTGTGTTTGTGCACTGACAGCCCTACAGAGTTTAGGGAGGTGCTTTCTGATGATACCCGAGTCAGGAAAGTTCTGGGAAGCTGTTAAGTGCTTCTGCAGTTCTTGGACGAATATCAGTGCTCTGGAGGAAGCAGTGTGGTGCTGAGATGCAGGGTGTTGCAATTCTCGGGAGAGGGAATGTGGGTGGTACTGGGTTAATCTTGAGGGTTCTGTTCAGGAAACTCTTCTCTCCCAGGGATCGAGACCAAGGGCGTGCCAGTGTCAGATGGGAACAGCTTGGCAGGGATTTGAGCTAACTGTAGCCTGGACCAGAAGGACTCTGCTTTTCAGAAGTTTTGTTGTTTGTTTACCGCCAATTTTTAGTTATTGCTCTGACTGTGGATCTCTTATTACCTTCTATACTACAAATTGTCTTTGAAACTTAAAGTGAATAATTTTCACCTGGTATGTGTCTACATTTCAGTTCATTCAGCAAGCACTGAATTGGCTGTGAGTAAAATGTGCATGTGACATCAGTATTTTTTTTTTTCAGATGGGGAGTCTCACTGCATTGCCCAGGCTAGAGTGCAGTGGCGCGATCTCGGCTCACTGCAACCTCCACCTCCTGGATTCGAGCATTTCTCCTGCCTCAGCCTCCTGAGTAGCTGGGATTACAGTCACCCGCCACCACGCTTGGCTAATTTTTGTATTTTTAGTAGAGAAGGGATTTCACCATGTTGGCCAGGCTGGTCTCGAACTCCTGACCTCAAGGGATCCGCCTGCCTTGGCCTCCCAAAGTGCTGGGATTACAGGCATGAGCCACCGTACCTCGCTGATGTCAGTATTCTTGATGGAGCAAACATGATCTATTAGTTGTAAAATATTAATATTTAAATTAAAGTTGCCATGTTTACTCTGTTGAGTAAGAGCATGGGTTTAGGAAGCTGACAGCTGGGGTTCAAATTTCATCCTGGTCACTCCTAGTCTTGGGCAAGGCATGTGACCTTGGACAAGTTATTTAACCTCTTTGGGCCTTATTTCCTTGTGTATGACAATGAGACTAATAATAATGGTACCCACTTTGTAGAGTTTTTGTGAGGTTTAAATGAGATGGTAATGTAAAGCACTTAGCCTGGTGCCTGACACATTGTAACCATTTGATAAGTGTTCATAAAGAAATAACACAGAAGCAGTTTCCATCACAGCAGGTGGGAAATGGCCGAGTATCTGGCCTCCATCTTCAGCACCAAGAAAGACAAAGTCAACTGTTCATTTTATTTCAAAATTGGAACATGTCGTCGTGGAGACAGATGCTCTCGGTTGCACAGTAAACCAGTGCTTAGCCAGACCATTGCCCTCTTGAACATTTACTGTAACTCAAAACTCTTCCTAGTTTGCTAACGGTTTGCGCTGTGCCGTGAGCCCTGTTGAGATGCAGGAACACTATGATGAATTTTTTGAGGTTTTTACAGAAATGGAGAAGTATGGGGAAGTTGAGGAGATGACCTCTGTGATAACCTGGGAGACCACCTGGTGGGGAACGTGTATATCAAGTTTCGCCTTGACGAAGATGCAGAAAAGGCTGTGATTGACTTGAATAACCATTGGTTTAAAGGACAGCCGATCTACACAGAGCTGTCACCTGTGATAGACTTCAGAGAAGCCCTCTCAGTATGAGAGGGGAGAATGCACATGAGGTGGCTCCTGCAACTTCATTCATTTGAAGCCCATTTCCAGAGAGCTACAGTGGGAGCTGCATGGGCGCTGTTGCAAGAAGCATAGATCAAGATCCCAATTCTGTGACCGTCATTTTTGGTATAGAGACCATGGTCGTGGCAGTGGCGGTGGTGGAGGTGGCGGCGGAGGCAGATGGAGTGTGACAGGAGGCAGTCGAGAGATCATGAGAGATCTGGGCAATTCTGAGCCATGCCATTCTTACCTTATGTCTGCTAGAAAGTGTTGTGGTTTATTGACCAAACCAGTTCATAATGGGAATTTTTTTTAGAAAAACAAAAAAAGAAACCCGCAAAGATGGGTTTCTGAATAAAATTTGCAGTGATAATAGTTAAAAAATAAAAGAAAGAAATAACACAGAAAGAGGCCAAATGACCTTTCAAGCTGCTTGACACCCAGAGCTCTCAGGTGAAATGAGCTTTGGTATAGCAGAGCACCCTTGGACTGAACCTGGATCCAGTCTGGTTCTGCTCTTAACTAATTGTGGGACTCTACACAAGTTAATCTGCCTGTATATCATTTTTCTAATTTTAAAATGATACATGACATCGTGATGATGAAGATGATAATGATGATAGCTAATAGGTAATGAGTACTAGGCACTGTGCTAAGTACTTTGCATGGCTTATCTAATTGAATCCTCATAACTACCTTGGGGGTAGATTCTGTTAGTATCCCTGTGTTTCAGATGGGAAACCAAAGCTCAGCAGTTTAGTTACTTGTCCTGGGTCACCTCACCAGTAAAAGTAAAGATGGTCTTATCTGGCAGTCTGATTCTCTATGTGTCAGATGTTATGTCACAGTCTTGCATACATTAGCTGCCTTCTTTTGCATTTAATTTTCTAATCATAATTACATTTTAGTTAATGCTTCATGGGTTGTCTTAAGGAAAACATTTGGGAGTAAGTTTGGGATTTGAGGCTAAATTGTAGTTAATAAGCATTTAAAGGGCAGGCATGGTGGGTGGCTCACACCCATAATCCCAGCACTTTGAGGCTAAGGTGGGAGGATTACATGAACTCAGGAGTTCAAGACCAGCCTGGGCAACATAGTGAGACTGCCATTTCTACAAAAAAAACAAAAAATTATCCTGGCATCATGGTGCTTGCCTGTGGTCCTGGCTATTCAGGAGGCTGAGGTGGGAGGATTACCTGAGCCTGGTGAGTTCTGGACTGCAGTGCACCACTGCACTTCAGCGTGGGTGACAGAGCAAGACTGCCTCAAGGAAAGCAAAAAAAAGTATTTATGGAGTGTCTAGGTATTCCTGGGGAAGAATGGATTCCCCTGCCCCCACCCCAACATTCTTATTAAATAAAATCTTTTTTTTTTTTTTTTTTTGAGACGGAGTTTTGCTCTTGTTACCCAGGCTGGAGTGCAGTGGTGCGATCTCGGCTCACCGCAACCTCCGCCTCCTGGGTTCAGGCAATTCTTCTGCCCCAGCCTCCTGAGTCGCTGGGATTACAGGCACGCACCACCATGCCCAGCTAATTTTTTTTGTATTTTTAGTAGAGATGGGGTTTCACCATGTTGACCAGGATGGTCTCGATCTCTTGACCTCATGATCCACCCGCCTCAGCCTCCCACAGTGCTGGGATTACAGGCTTGAGCCACCGCGCCCGGCCTTAAATAAAATCTTATCTGAGGTGGTTTGAACTTGTGCAAAGCAAAGCTGTGTGTAAATACTACAGTGTAGAGGCTTTTCTCAGCAGACCTCTTGAACGAGCACCTCTGCAGCCAAATATTTGGGTGGAAAAACGGGTGTGCTTTGCAGGTGGCCGCAGGCCTTTCTGAAACACACCCTTAAGTGATGCTCAAGTGTTTCAGGTCAGTGGCAGCTTCCATATTTGTTGTTGGTGGGGAGCAACAGGGTTGAGATTCTGAAAACTGGAGCCACAAGTCTTGGGTTGGTGTTTGCTCTTTCAGCTCTTCAACTTGGTTTCCCAAAGCCCACTTTCAGCTGTAGTATGGTGTAGGTCATTGTTCCATGTTGCAGTGTTGTTTGGGAGACTGACCTAAATAGAGACACTGGTCAGTGACTTGGCAAGAGGAGCCTTTGGCTCTGCTTTGCTGGCCTTGAGCTATACAGGTGTTCTGGCCTTCACATTTAGGGGAAAGGTGATATAATGACAGACAACTTGGGTGGCTGCTTAGATAATTTACTTTCTTTTAGGGAGTTAAAGTGTTGGTTTCAGAAGGCACATGAGTATCAACAAGGGCAATAGTGTGCAGTTTTTCCTCTATGGAGGACTCGAGAAGAAGTCCCTGGCGGGGTTTATAACAGAGGGTTCACGTTTTCCTCCTGCCTGTGGAAGTGATATAATAAGGAAGGCATTCTCTGTGCTGTTGGTTTTTTTTAATAGCAGAAGCTGTTGTGGGCCATTCTACCTCTCCAACCCCAGAGTTAGAACATGAATCAGCAAAATTGGAACTAGAGTTCTGTCTAATTATCTGTGTATCCTTTAACCACTAAGATTTATATTTTGTGACTAATGATCTTGTTCTGGAAGTGCCATCTCCCACACAAGTCCCCAAAGAAAACTGGCTCTAAGGGCTCTTAGAAATCAATTTTTCCCCCTTCTGTTTTCTCTGCAGGATTTATCTTGGGATCCCATGGCTTTCTTTACTGGGCTCTGGGGCCCCTTCACCTTTGTAAGCAGAGCACTGATCCATCGCTGTTTCAGGTAACTTCCCATTAAGTTCTTAAAACTGTGTCTTAAAGCCTCCTATCAGGGCTGGGTATTATGGTGACTGGAACAGGAGTGAAAACCCAGGGAGACAGGCATGGGGTTGGGGAAAAGCTAAAGGGATCAGGCTGAGCTGGCCTGGTTGGTCAGGTCACAGGATGGGGGGATAGGTAAGGAGGTGATGTTGCTATGTTAGAAGTGCGACAGGGAATGTCATATGGTGGAAGCTTTTACTCTTCAGTCCTTGGAAGACTCTTATAGTGAATCTCACATCTCTCAATCCTATCATTCCCCTAGAGCATTAAAATCCTCGCTTTTAAAAATGGAATTTTTTTTTTTTTTTTGAAACCGAGTTTCGCTCTCTTTGCCCAGGGTGGAGCGCGATGGTGCAATCTCAGCTCATCACTACCTCTGCCTCCCGGGTACAAGCGATTCTCCTGCCTCAGCCTTCCAAGTAGCTGGGATTACAGGCATGCGCCACCACGCCCAGCTAATTTTGTATTTTTAGTAGATACGGGGTTTCTCCATATTGGTCAGGCCGGTCTCGAACTCCTGACCTCAGGCGATCCACCCCGTCGACCTCCCAAAGTGCCAGGATTACAGGTGTGAGCCACTGTACCTGCCAAAAATGGAATTTTTTAAATTACAAAAACAATACATGCTTATTATTACGAAGAACTTGAGCATGATAGAAGTGTGACACCCTCCCCTCCTTTTAGATGCCATACCAGGAGAGCACCGGAGGCACGCCCATTGGCAGACATGCTTCTCGGTCTGATCAACTCCTCATTGCACAGGTGTTTCCTGAGCACTGAGCCTGAGGTTGGCTATACAGAGTTGAGTGAGAATTGCTTCCTGTCCTGAAAGAATGCTCACTGTCAGCCACAGGAGCCAACTTGAAAATAAGCAACTCTAAGAAAATGTGATAGAATATTATAATAGAGGATCGTACAGTGCTTTGGAAAGCCTCATATACAAGCTGCTAGTGGAGGAAGAGGAGGAGAAAGAGTGGAAGCAGTCTTCTCAGAAGGGAGTTGGGGGCAGATCCTGTCTAGGCTTCCAGGGAGAATTGGGAGGCAGGGTGTGCTTGGGGAACTCCAGTAGTTCCTGGTTGCTCCTGTACAGAGTGGTAAGATATGTGGCCTTAGAAGGAAGGTAAATTGGGACAAGGTTGTGGACAGTGTAGACGGTGGGGAACCATTGAACAATTCTGAGCAGGAGTGGCATCACTTTCATATTCTAAAGAGAGCTTTTCAGTAAAGTACTAGGAACCACCTAGGACACTAATGCCACAGTCTTGGTGTAGGGGGGTGAGGAAGGAAGTTGTTGGTGGGATTGAAGAGGAAGGACATAGGTGCTTAGGAGGTGATATCAACAGGACTTGGTGGCCAGCTGATGTTGGTGGAGAGAGATTATGCCTTGGGTTTCTGGTGTTGCTGGAGAACCCATTATCTAGATAAGAAGTGTAGCAGCAGGAGGAAGTTTGCAAGGGGAGGCAGTGAGCTCAGTTTGGGACCTACTGAGTTTGTAGTAACTGTGGGGCATGTTGTAGGGAGCTGAGGAGAGTGGAAATATATAGGATTAGAATATAGAAGAGAGGTGGGGCTAGAGATGGAATTTACTAGTTGGCAGCAATGCTGATGGTAAGCTTGCACAGAGTTGACATTAAAAAAAACAAGAGGTCCTAGGATTACCCTGTGGAAACACCAGCATCAGGTGCTAGCATCAGGAAAATAGGAATCCCACTGTAATCAGTTTGCCCACTAATACCTTGTCTGCCTTTAATAAGTACTCTCTAATTTTTTTTTTTTCTAATGAGAAAAAATGTATTAAAAGATTATTACCTTGACTTATTTCCAGTTTCTGCTGTGTTGTGTCAGGGAATTCCCTTAGCAAACTTACCCATATCTTCTAGTTCTCAGCAACATGTAAATAAGAAAATTAGGGAATGGGTGTATTCTGGGGAAGCAGGTTTTTCAGGATAGGCAGTGGGTGAGGCATAGCCCCTTAGGGATTCCTTTAAGTCCCCAGAGTCCCTTTGGAAATCAAAGGCTTTAAGTTATGGCTGCTATGAAGTTAATTGTCACAGAAAAATTGAGTTCTCTTTAAAACCCATCCAAATTGAGATCTTGACATAACAGCAAAAGCTCTCGATTGTGAGGAAACTGTGTGGGTACAGATAAGTCTTCACAAAGTCCTGACTTTCTGTTGCTGCTTCTGTACAGCACTCTGCTCTGTGTGTGTTGCTGACATGTACTTTCTCCCTAGCCTTGCCCTCAGAGGCTTGTGCACCCTGACCAGGAGAGATACAGACTGCAGACTTTTTTTCTCCCACCAGCACCACTGGGAGCCTGAGTGCGATTCAGAAGATGACGCGGGTACGAGTGGTGGACAACAGTGCCCTGGGGAACAGCCCATACCATCGGGCTCCTCGCTGCATCCACGTCTATAACAAGAATGGGGTGGGCAAGGTGGGCGACCAGATACTCCTGGCCATCAGGGGACAGAAGAAAAAGGCGCTCATTGTGGGGCATCGCATGCCTGGCCCCCGAATGACCCCCAGGTTCGACTCCAACAACGTGGTACTCATTGAGGACAACGGGAACCCTGTGGGGACCCGAATTAAGACACCTATCCCCACCAGCCTCCGCAAGCGGGAAGGCGAGTATTCCAAGGTGCTGGCCATTGCTCAGAACTTCGTGTGAGTTGAGCCCAGGCCTCTGGTTGCAGGAGAGTTTGTGAATGGTGCAGTTCCAAGAACCACACTTTTGCTAAGGGAGCTTGGGAGCCACATGGCTGCTCCCTTCACACTGGGTAATAGTGTCCTATGAGAGAATAAATATATTAATTTATGTTCTTCCAGAGCTTTCTGGGATGTAGTGGGAAAGTAAATGACACTGGAGTAGTTCCAAGGTGGCTTACCCAAATCTGGCCACACAGGGTGGCATTCTTTACACGGAGCAGCCGTGGTGCCAGGGTCTAAGCCCTTGCTTTTCTGATTTAAACCCTATGAGTTCATCCACAACTGACAGGTCCTGGAAAACCAAGGAACACACCATGTACCAATTTATAAATGTACTGTGGGGTCTGCCACTTTCTAACCAAAAGATACTTGTGTTTATTTTTCTCATCCAAAATCTCCTTTTCCTGTATTAGTGGGCTTGAGACTTTAAATGGTTATAAAGATTACTGAGTTAGCATGGAATAAGAGCAAAGAAGCTGATTTAATCTAGTGAACATTTTCTTCAGGCCACAGTAAAGCCCAGACAGTAATCCTTTCTTTATTCTGATCATTTGCCAGAACACTCCACTGTGCCCAGTAGCAGAGCATCCTTCCTGGACTGCTGGAGATATGAAAATGTTCTTACATTTTGCAGATGACATAATCTTGGGTCTGTGCGGGTGATTCAGTGACAGTTATCTTCCATTCATCTGTAGGTTTGCTTGCAAAGATTTAGAGACTCTCTTAGTTCCTTTGCTGGAATCTCATCAACTTATTTATAAATTTTAAAAAATTCATTTAGAATACCTTAGGTAGTTAACTCATTAAATGAATAACTAATCTCAATGGCTTCTGAGAGTCAGAGTAGGATAATAATTAGGAACATAGGCCAGACTGTATGGGTTTGAATCCTGACTCTACCACTTAATGACTGGGCAAATTATTTTACTTTTCTTTAGCTCAGTTTCCTTATCTGTAAAAGGGGGATGTAGTAATGGTACCTACTTGATAGAATTGATGTGAAGATTAAATGAGTTTGTAAGTGCTTAGAACAATACCTGGCAATAATAAGCACTCAGGCTAGGGATGGTGGTCCAGGCCTGTAGTCTCAACTGCTCAGGAGGCTGAGGTAGGAGGAGCCCAAGAGGTGAGTCCAGCCTGAGCAACATGGCAAGACCTGTCTCTTAAAAAACAAACAAACAAACAAACAAAACAACCAAACTTTTAGGTAGGTACTTTTAGGAATAGGAAGTAGCTATTTACTGTTGTCACGAGTCTGCATGGGTCAGCACTGAGAAAACAAAGGTAAGTAAAAAGAGTAAAAGCAGGTGTGGTCCCTGCTTTCCTGGAGTTTATATAGTCTCGGGAAACCAACGTGGATCAATAATTCCTCAAACAAGTGCAAAGTCCCAAGTGTAGCAAGGGTCTGTGATAAAGGAGCTAGAGTTTCAGTGGGATCGGGGGCAGCTTCCCTGAGGAAGGATTGCATCAGCTGCATTCTGAATAGGTACAGTGATAGAAGTCAACAGTGGTTACCTGGGGGGTAGGGAAGGTGTAGACTGGAAAGGGGAAAGAGGGAAACTTCTGGGTCTTACGAATGTCCTAAATCTAGATCTGTGTGCGAGTTCCATGAGGATAGACATCCGTAAACAATTACGGAGCTGTATACTTTAGTGCACTTTATATCACAGTGAAATAAATGAATAGGCATTAGTTAGGTAAGAGAAGAGTAGGAAATGTTGCTGGTAGAGGGAAGGGCATGTATACAAACCCTGTGACAGGAGGGAATGGGATAAATGCCCGGTCTAGAAGAAAGAGCCAGTGTGGCTGGAACAGGGAGAGCAAGAGGGAACATGGTGGGGGTTGAAGCCAAAAGAGGAGTGGGGCCTCGTGAGTCCTCGGGAGACTTTCCTTTTACTGAGGTCATTGGGATGCTGCTGGAGAGTAATTTAGCAAGTGGTTAGACATGGTTAGATCTGCTCTGGAGAGAGATCTTGGGGAGGCCAGAATGGAAGAGTGTGCTTTGCAATAGACTGTGGGAGATGATAATATGGACCAGGTTGTGGTGGAGGGCAGTGGGCATGTTTAGGAGGTGGAGTTGACTTGGGGAATACTAATGGAGGTGGGTTAGTAATGGGGAATACTAATGGGGAAAGGCCAGGGATGGCTTTTCTGAGGTTTCTGGCTTCTGTGCCTGGATAGTTGGTTGTGTTGAACCTGGAGCTAGGCTGGAGGATTGGGGAGGAATAGCGGGTGTGGGCAAGCTGAATGGAGGTGACTTTGAGACATCGAAGAGATGTCAAGTAGGTAGCTGGATATAAATAATCTCTTAAATTGGAATAACACTGAAGACACTGAGTTTCAGAGGTAATTCAGAGGTAAGAGGTGATTTTTTCAGGGTTCTCCAACTAGTAAGTGGTAAAGCTGGTCTCGGAGCTGGATCCTGTGACTTCCAACCCAGGGTCTTCCCACATCATTGGGTCTTCCTTTTGTAGTTGATGAGTCCACTTCATCTTGACTTGATTCTTACTAGCTGTGATCCTAGAGGCTGATGTTCTGATTTTCCCGAGTTCTGTGGGCATACCTTAGAGCCCATTGCCCACTGAGCCTTGACTGCAATGAGGCAGAGGCTCTTAGTTTTACATCTTCCATTGGAGGACCACATTGCTCCTGACTAAGCCTGATTCAAGGTACTCTGGGTATTTTAGGAGCTAATATCCTCTCCATCTGGCCCTCTGGAAGGGCTGACATGCTCTGCCGCAGCGGTTGGATGTGGCCAATGAGGAGGAATCATCGAAACCAGGGCCTGCTTTGCCAGTGGTGAGTGTTTCTCTCCAGCGGCAGCAGCTGGTACTCAGTAGGTTCTTAACGTCCCTGCTTTCTGTGCTACTTCCTAAAGGCTGTGGGAGGAAGAGAACCCTGGCCTGAAACAAAGGGAAGGTGGAATTGTTCTCAGCCTGGCACCACTTGCTTAAGGGCTGGACCTTTGCTCTCACTGGCGCAGCTTTACCCAAGCTGCCCTCTGGCTTCTCAGGTCCCTTGCTTTCTGGGGTCAGCCTCACTTCTTCCTCTGCCCTTAGCAGGAAGTGTCTTCCGTTCATGTGCTTGCAGGGTGCTGCCACCCCTCACCCGCCTCCCTGCTGTTTAGGTTCATCAGAGTCATTCAGATGACTCTCCTCTGTCCTCGCTGTCCCCTTCTCTGGTCTTCATAGACTTAAACCCTCTTCCCAAGGTGTTCTGTGCTGACCGCTGGAAGGCTGTGGTTTCAACAAAGCCGGTGGCCAGGGCCTGTGACGCAGGCCCTCATAGCACAGCCCAGAATAGCCTCGGCTTTGCTGCTTTTCCAGCTGCCCTATCACTTTGCAGGCTGGGATCTAATTTGCTGTCCACCCTCTCAACCCTAGTCTCTCAGCCAGTGCTCATGAAATATTTATAATCACAGATTATGTTTCCCTATGAGTATAAACTTGCTGTTGTTTTCCCCCCACCGCCTTGTGTGCCCTTAAGAATCTGCCCCTGACAGGTCAAAGGGCCTTATTCTCTGGTTTCATGAACTTCATCACACTTTCTTTGGTGAAGGGGCTGGCTCCACTTACGGTCTGACTCCCTCTGCTAGACCACTGCTGAAGAAATGTGAGAAAAGAGCTCTAGATTAGCTCTTGTAGTCAGAGACCTGGGTTCCAGATGGAACCCTGCTGCTAACTAGCCTCTCAAGGAGTTAGGAGCTTACTGCTGGAGGGCTTGGTGCTCAGGACCTCTGGCCAGTGGGTGTGACTCCTAAGGGCCAGCCACGTTGAGGGATGTGCGCCCTTGGCTGCTGATGGGGTGAGGGGGGACCTGGCCAAAGTGTGTGCAGACAGGCCTTGCCACCATCAGCACTCCTGAAGCTAGTCACCTCTGGCAGAGATGTCCAGTCCACTTCCTGTGTGTCTTTGGGTATTAGCGCAGAAAGCAGGGAAATTAAGAGTCTTCCAAGTACCAGCTGCTGCAGCTGGGAAAAAGCGCCTACCACTGAGTTTCTCCCCTGAAACTCTAAAGCCCAGCTTTGTATTTATGAGGGCAGCGGCCGCTGAGGCAGAATTCACTGGAGGGGTGCTTCCTCCTGTGTTAGAGTGAGGAGAGGGGCCAGGACTGGGGTCTCCCTGGAGGTGAGGTCCTACCGTACAGGCGGGAGCCCAAGTCCATTCCACTCCAACCTCCCTGTGCGGAGCTGCCTTAGTGTCCTTGCTCAGGCCTCTCATTACCTTTCTTTGCCTCTTCTCATGGTCTTTAATTTTTTTTCTCAGTGGCTGAGAAATCTTGCTTTTGACAAAAATTGTGTAATACTGGAATCAAATCCTTAACCGAAATTTGAATCTGTACCAGTAGCTGTATTTCTTTTCTTCTAATTTTGTAATTCAAACTTAAAATTGTGGGACTTTTGTTTTATTCTTTCCCACCTGGAGGATGGTAATAGATCACAGTTCAGTTCTTCCCAGCATTTTGGACACCTTCTTGCTGAATTATTTTGCGAAATATTAGTAATTTTCTGAATTATTTGGGCTTCCTGGGCTGAAAGTGGTGATGAGTTTGCCTTTCAACTTTCAGTATAAAGATGGTGATTCCCAACCAGATTTGGAAACAGCAATGATCTGTTGTCATTGCTTGGTATTATGGCAGGCTGTTTCATAAGACACACCACAGGCATTTTTTAAATGAAAATTAAACTTTATTTTGGGAATTTCATAAGAGCTCTTGAATAATTGTGATACCTTTGGATATTACAAAACCTTGATTGGCAATTGATTTGAGGCCAAGTGTTTACATGCTCAATAAAGACAGCTCTTGGCCAATCTGGACTGATGACCCAGTGTGTGATCAGAGCTGCACTCCCTCCTCCCCACTGAGCTCCCTTTTGATTGGCACCAGTTCTCAGCTCCCTTTTGATTAGCACAGGAAGAGGAGAGAAAGAGAGATATGTGTGGTCTTTTCAAGGGATGTTACACCTGGCCTCCAGTGGATTTCCCAGACAGGGAGTAGGCTCTGTTGCACCATTCCCACAGGCTACCCAGTGCCCTTCGTGGCTGGCCATGGCTGATATCTGCAAAGAGGCAGGCACACATGGGTCAATTAGTGGGGCTTTCATTTGTCCAT